CCCAGGTTGGAGTGAAATGTCCGTCACTATGGCAAACATTCTGCGATGGTTTGATTGAGAATGTCCCTAGAGGCTCAAATACTTGCTGTGTGGGGAGGTCACAGACTCTCTAGCAGTGAAGTGTTGCTGGAAGAAGCATTGGGAGCAACCTTTGCGCATTCAACTCCCAGCTTGCTTTCTCTTCCGGGAGCTTGTGGCTGAAGATGTGAGCTCTGTTTCCGGTCCATGCCACCATGCCAGGATGTGGCCATGCCACCCTGCCATCACGGACTCTTATCCCTTGGCAATTCCAAGCCCAAATAAACTTTTCGATAAATTGCTTTGGTCATGGTGCTTCACCACAGAAATAGAGAAGTAACTAAAACACATTCAGTCTGTGCTTGCTGTATGAATAATCCTACTCACATTCGGCCAAGCATTGCAAAGACGCAGTGCTAAAATTTAAAAAAGAAAAATAAGTCTACCTCATTATCTGATTTTTTTTAAAGAAACTGTCATCAAGTTTAATAAAAAGAAAAAAAGAAGGTATCTGTATTTGAGTAAAGTGCTCATGCACATGTATGTACGGTGTCCATTTATACTATACTTCCTGTTCACAGCTCTATTTTAGAAAGTTAAGATTCTCACTCAAAAAAGAAAAAGAAATGGAGCAGAGGTACACATACAGAACAGAACAAAGAAAAACAACAAAACAAAACAGTGATCTTGTTTGGGGCAGAAGACAGTCCAAATGCCAGATATGCCTCTAAATCATCTTCTATATCATCTACACATTTCATTAGACTTAGGAAGTATCTAAATCAAAACAAAACTACTGTACAGGGGTTTGTCCCTGTTAACATTTTAAGTTTTTAACAATTTATTTTGATTTGGCAGGAAGTATGTGCATGTGCATGGGGATGCGTGTAAAGGCCAGAAGAGGGAGTCAGATCCCCTGGAGCTGGGAGTTACGGGCAGTTGTGAGTCACCCAATGTAGGTTCTGAGAACTGATTTCTGGCAATTGCTCTTAACTACTGAGCTTTTGCTCCAGCCCTTTATATTTTAATTACCTTAATTGTATCAGCATTTAAACGCCAAGAATTCAGGCGTGAAGAGAGGTAATAATGATAAAGTACCGGCTGTGAAAAAAAGACCTCCTTTGAATTCAGACTACCACTGACTGGCTGTTTGACTGTAAACCAGGAATGAGTTTTGCTGTGAGAGTTCAAAGGAATCGAGCACAATACTGGATGCAGAACAATACCTAATTTTCATTCCTCTTCCCTTTTCTTAGGAAACCTACCTCTCTCTCCCTCTTTTAATTGAAAAGAAGTAATATGGAACACAGGACAACTGGATAGTTCTATGGCAGGGAGTGGGCCTATGAACTTCTAAGGTATAATGTGGAGAGAACACAAGTAAATTGATAAGGAACCAAAAGATCTTCCAGGTCCAGGTTTGTCATAGTCCACGCAAGCCTCCTTTGTCCCTATGCTGGCAGGAATAATATGCAGAAGAAGCAGGGAAAGCAAACAATTAACAAAGTATGCTCTCAGTTCCCTTCCTTTGTCCCTGTCCTCCCTACCAACATCTCTACTACACAGCAAGTACCTGTCCTAGAAACAAGAATCCCTATGAATACCACCAATCTTTACACAAATTTAACTTGTACTACCAAACTCAAAACTCCAAAATGCCAAAAGGTACAAATTTCTACATTTGTTTCAATGTTTTCTCTGAACGTGCACATTTCATTAGGTAAAGAAACCCTTGAGATTTTATCTTAAAACCACTTAAGGACATATTCAAAAGGCTTGAGGAGCAAACAAAGCCACCTATCCATAACAACATCCTGCTCACAAAAGTGTCCCAGAAACTCGTTATAAACAAAATCCCTCTGTTTATTTCTAGGAGGTAATACTGAGAGTTTCTGTACCCAACAGTATGCCTTACATACCCATGGCAATTGTGTTTTCTTCCTTTACTCAAACACAGCATCTGTTGCTAACAAAACACTGAAGTCCATGTCATTTTCAGAGACAAAAAAGCAGCTGGTCAAGCTAATCCATTTGCTGACTAGCTGTCAGTAAGCTTCTGTAAGACTGTCCAGATAGCCTTAATTGTCAGGTTGCATGAATCAGACTTTCAATCCTCTTTCACTTAGGATTTAACAACCCTTCTTTGGCACAAGCAGCTGAAATAATTTCTTACAGATATATGGGTAGAAAACAGGACTTAAAGATGTCTAGACAGGATTAGAAAAGGAAAACATTATTTTGAGGCTGGGTTAATAAAATTAACAAAAGTTAACACAATACTGTTGGGTGGTTTTTAAAAATGAACAATTCTCACAATAACCCTTTGAGAGAGTACAACTGCTACTTCTAGTTTATAGGTGAAGAAATGGAGATGAAGAACAAAGTAACCAAGCTCACATGGCCCATTAACAGTATGACTGGAAACTTGGCTCCTCTTAATAGCTTACAAGCAAATCCCAACGCCTTCCTTCGCCAATTCCAGTGAGTAACTGCTTCCTTTATAGACTGAGGCATCATCCCTGCTACGTTTTAATTGGAACATTCTATAATGGGAAATAGTCTCCAAATCTCCTGCTATGGGTGCACTAGAGATAGAAATATCCAGTTTAGTTGAATACTATTTGAGACAAGTAACTGACTGCAGAAATTCCTAAGAAAGGACAGCTCAGAATGAAAGCACTAAATGAGTTACAAGCATTAATTCTAGATGTTCTTTGTAAGCTATAAAACAAGTTCTTTTAGATAGAAAAATTATTTGATATCACCAAAGAAATTCAACACATTTTTAATACTGACAAGTTAATTGCCAAAGTTATTCCAGTAAGATACACCAGTATCAATAAAAAGAACAGCTAATTCTTTATCATCATGGGGAAATTGTGTATGGTACAGAGATACATCATTTGAAAGGAGAGCAACTTGGTTCAAATCTTAGCTTGCCAGCACGCCCTTGTAGAAGACACTACCTCATTTAATGTCTCCTAATTAGATGATCTATATAAAAACACTTTTTCTATTTTATCATGGAGTATTTCAGTCCTAATTATTCATAAACTTTAAAATACCATCTTCTCAGTCTGGAGAGATGGCTCAGAGGATAAGAGCACTGGTTGGTCTTGAAGAGGACCCATGTTGGGTTCCCAGTGCCCACATGGCAGCTAACAACCATCTGTAACCCCAGGTCCAGGAGATCCAATGCCCTCTTCTAGCCCTCTGTGGGCAATGCACAACACAGGTGCACTTAGACACATGCAGGCAAAACAGTTATACAAACAAAATAAAAATAAATTTTAAAAAATTTAAACCGTTTTCATAATGAAATATTTTATCAGATTTTTACAATATTTTTGTGATGAACAGATGAGGGAACAGATTCATCACTGGTAGACGACATGCTCTGTATCACACAGCTAGTTGCACCCTGCAACTCAACTTTCTGGATTTCCATCTGACCTCTGCTAATGTCCATTCAAATATCACATGCCTTTCCGATAATAAGCTGGGAAATGTATTACAAATTTAGGCAGAATGTTTTAAATTTATACATATTCAAAACACACAAAGCAAACTTTAAAAAGTCTTACCAAGTCTTGGCAATAATAACAGAACATACACAAATGAGTTTCGAGGCAAGCACAAACAACGAAATCCAGGCGCGTGTCTGTTAAATACTACAGCAGTAGTAAATGCTTAACATACACTATTCTCATGCGTCTATGCGCCCCCCCCCCCAAACACTCCTGAAGAAGGTGAATCCGGTAAAAAAATTAAATGAAGTTGTTTTACAAGCCTTCCCAGTGCTTTCTATGCAATAATAATTATAATTATTATAAAGAATGGCCTCTCAGATATGCCCTTGTTTTTCCCTGATGCATTATTAATAACACTTCTGGTTTCTTTCCTATACCGGAATATATTTCAATTACACTATAAGCTAACAAAGAGAACAAGATGGTTTATTTCCACACAGGGATTCTGACTGGGTGTTAAAAATTGCCTTGCAGCTGGGCGTGGTGACATACGCCTTTAATCCCAGCACTTGGGAGGCAGAGACAGGCGGATCTCTGTGAGTTCAAGGCGTGGTCTACATAGTGAGTTCCAGGACAGCTGGGGCTACAGGGAGACGCTGCCTCAAAAAGACCAAAAAAAAAAAGAAAGGAAAGAAAAGAAAGAAAAAAGAAAAGAAACCATGAACAGTTATTTCTCTCTGCAATGGGATTCTGTGGATGTCAGACTTATTTTATAATTATATATCTCTATGTACTGTTTGAATTTCTACCTTAGGCATGTTTTAAAGTGAAAAAAATAACAATGGCAGGGTCTCAAAAAAAATTGCCTTGCAACTGTATTTGACACACTGGCTATATTTTTAAAGCATTTTTAATTAATCAAAAGAGCTACTCTGTATACCTTTCCTTAACTTGTTCTCAAAGTGGTAAACATTCCACAAGACCACTAGGTAACTGAAACCAGCAACACCAACTGGTCGAGGAGGGTGGGGCGGCTGCCCTGACAACTGTCTTTTTTCCTCGATTCAGCAAACACCCAGATCTGCTTATAAAAAACCCAAAGAAAGGGAGGGGACAGCGGTACAAAGGAAACTCGGTTCCCGGACCTCAAGAGCATGCACTGTGCTATAGAGACCAGGGGGAAAAAAGGGGCATCCGCGTCGGCGCCCGCAGGGAGACCCGCAAACAAGGCTGTGCTAGGCACCCACGTGTGCTGGGCAGGGCCCACCCTCGGAGCTCGCGCGGGGGCTACGGGGACCAGCGCGGGCCTAGCGTGGGCAGAGGGTGCGCGGCTGCGACCCGGGCACGGCTCGGGGTCCCGCCCGGAGGAGTGCAGGGCGGAGGTCAGTCGGGGCGGCGGGCGCTCGGGTCAGGTGAGGCCCCAGGCCCGGTCTCGCCCTCGCCGCGGAGCCCCGCCCTCCCGCCCGGGCCACCCGCCCCCGGCCCACGCCCCCGGCCCGCGGCCCCGCTTACTTTCTGCGAGTCCATGTCGAGGGCCTAAGCCCGCGGGGCCGAAGCCGCCACCCGAGCCGTGTGAGGAGGCGGAGGACCCTGGAGACCCGCTGCCCTCGGCCGCCGCCCGCTCGGGTCCCGCAGTGGTCCTGCCCGTCCGCGCCCAATTCGCGCGCGCCGCTGCGGAGCCGCGGTTGCCTGGGTGAAAGGGCGGCCCGCGGGAGGGCGAGGCGGGGAGCGCCTGCGCATGCGTGCTGGGCACGCGCCCGCTTCGGCTGCCTGTCGGTCTACATGCTCCATCTTCTGCTGCTTCTTTCCCGCATCCTTCTCCATACTTGGAACGAGCCATAGGGCACCCAGAAGCCCGGCCTGTGGGGAGGGTTGGAGAAGGAGAGCCCTGGTCCCGGAGCTGGCTCTGCACATGCTGCATCTGGAAGTACACTTGCGGCGTCTCTCCACATTAGCCTGGGAGACGCAGCCAAGCTAGGCCAGGCCCAGCTATCCGGCAAATGGAAAAACGCTGGGATGGAGAGGCAGCGGAAACGTGGGAAAGGCCTGGGAGGGTGTGATGGAAACATGGAAGAGGGTCATCAGGACGCGGGGTGGAAAGAATGACAGAAACGTGGGTTTGCAAGTAATGCGGGATTTGGGGTCTGGTAGTCCTCGCCCGGCTAGCGCTTTAGTACCTTGTGAGCAGGTTCCTAGCCCTGAACCTGTTTCATTACAGAATAAAAGAAATAATGCAGACTTTGCAGAGGACTGTAAGGGTTAAATGCTGTAGTCGAACAGCCGAGGACACGGTGCTGAATAAATGACAGTGGGACAGCGAATTAGGATCTGTTCAGTGTGACTGAAAGGGCAATGCAGACTTTAGAAAGCTTGGGAAGGTAGTAGTTTGAAGAGGTAGGTTCTCCAGAGACAAGCTTCATCCTCGATTCGGATGACTCAAGAAGCTCAGAAAAATCGAATCTGAGAACAACATACTAAATGAGTTAGCTAGGAGGCTTAGGTAAGATCTCTGAATGGGAGAGAGTGAGCAAGTGAGCTAGGGAGATAGATCAGTGGATAAAGCTCTTGCAGGACAAGAGTAAAGACTGAGTTTCGATTTCTAGAAGGTGCTAAAAGTCGGTGACTAAACACATGCATGGCACACCTATCCAAAGCTCCGATTACATGTGTGACTAAACACACATGCATGGCACACATATACATGCAAGAAGTTAATGAAGAAAGAAAAATTGTATGAGGTTAAGTGGAACAAATACATAAATTGCATGGGGTAAAGGACTCAGAATTGGTAGGGTTCAGTTTCGTATAGCAATGTCAGAAAAGTTACTCAGGACTGACCTGAGTGAGAGTAACAGGAGGCTCTGAGGAAGAGCGTTCTACTCACAAGGAACGGTTAAAACAAAGGCCCTAGTGAGGCATGAGTTCTAATGTTGAGGATTGATATTTATCCTACAGTACTTTAATATACAGGAGTCTTTCCAACGAAATTGTGGATGCCTTGAGACCACAACTTCTTTTACCCAAATCTGCATCCCCAGCACAGAGCTGGCCACACACTGTGCATGCAATAGACTCTTTTTCATCTGGACAGAGATGTGAGAAATGGGATAAAAGGCATAAAAGGAAACAAAGGCTTGGTTCAGGCTAGGTAGGCAATGCTTGCTGAGGAGAGTTTATGCACAGTTTGACTCCTGCCAGCTGAAGGGGGAAAGGCATACAGTCTTTCAGAGAAACCCCATCTTTTGGTACCAAGGGAAGAGAACCTTCTATCCAAAGCTCCCCAAGTACACTACACTGGAAGCAGTGACAGCGGCCAGACACCCACTCACTACCTTGGTGCGGTGCCTCCAAGGGCTGATCTGCACACTCAATCTGAGTCAGTTTGCAATGAGAGAAATACAGAGGAGTAGAAGACAGCAGAGGTCAAACTGCTAAGGCTGTGTGATGCCAGCTCTGACCTCGTTTGCCAGTATGGTCCCATCATAAGGAAAGAAAAGAGCATTTGGTCCATGTCCAAAAGTGTCACTCCTACCAGAGGGAAGCTCCTAGGCACTTTATGAGTGACAGGCATGACCACAGGAGGAGGAAAAAAAAAGGGGCTTTTGGAGACTGAGTCTCCCTGAAATGTGATCACTAGACTGTCATTGGGCCACACCCTAGGAGCTTACTTCTGGCTCTTTGCCCCCAGCTCCTCTAGTTCTTTCCCTGAGGCCTAGCCAAGCAGCCTGCAGATTTTGACAACAGCTCTACCTCATTTGACTTCTGCCCTCACCAGATCTCTGGCTGTTTGGCCAGTCTGTCTTTCCTACACAGCTCATCCTGGGCCATTTGTTAACCTCACTCATCCAGGGGCAGCTATTTTCTTTGAGCTGTAACTCCTGTTTTTCTCAGTCCATATAGATTCTATCACTACAGTTACTCACCAAGTTCAGCAGGAGGTCTACACCCCCACTCCCTCACAGTGCCTCTGGCCTATAGGTAAATCCTTACCTTTTGTGTAATTATCTTTGCATTTTATCAAGTGAGGTTAGAAATTTCAAAAGTAGTTTTACTAGTAAAATAAAACAGTTGTTCTTAAACTTAACCCCAGGACCAACTGTATCAGCATCACCTAATTTGTTGGAAGTACAAATTCTCAGGCCTCATCCTCAGATCCTATGAATCAGAAACTCTGGGGCCAGGTCCAGTAATCTGTTTTAACCAGTCCTTCTGATGGTGCTGACTCACCCTAATACCTGGGAACCACTGAAATAAAAGGAAGAAATTGTTCTTTAAAAAAAGAGGGGGGCCAGATGTGGTAGTGCATTTCTTTAATCCCAGCACTTGGGAGGCAGAGGCAGGTGGATCTCTGTAAATACACAGTGAGTTCCAGGCCAGCTGGGACTACAAGGAAACCCTATCTTAAAAAGACCAAAAGAAAAAAAAAGGGGGGTTGGGGCTGCTGGGCCTTGGGGCACATGCCTTTAATCCCCGCATTTCCATTCGGGAGACAAAGGCAGTAGACCATAGCAAGTTCCAAGCCAGGCAAGGCTACATAGTGAGACCCTGTCTCAAAATTTAAAAAAGGAAGGTCTGTGGAGGTGTTCAGTTGGTAAAGTGCTATGGCCCAAGCGTGAGAACCTAAGGTTGATCCCCAGAAGGCATGTAAAAAGTATTGGTGACATGCCTGTAATTCTAGTGCTGGGGAGGCAGAAACCCAAGGGTCCTTGGAACTCACTGGCCAGCGGCCTAGCCTAATCTGAGCGCTCCAGGTTCAGTGAGGGACCCTGTCTCAAAACATAAGGTGGAGAGTGATCGAGGAAAACATCCAACATCGACCTCTGGCCTTGACATGCACACACACACTTATGTGTACCTACATACATGTTGTACACATGTTGACATGCACACATACATGTATGTGTACCTGTGACATACACAGAAGGAAAAAGAATGGCAGAAGAATGACAATTTCAAAACTTAGTTTTCTGGGGCTGGGCGTGGTGGCACACGCCTTTAATCCCAGCACTTGGGAGGCAGAGGCAGGCAGAGCCCTGTGAGTTCAAGGCCAACCTGGTCTACATAGTGAGTTCCAGGACAGCTGGGGCTATAGGGAGACCCTGTCTCAAAAAGACCAAAAACAAAACAAAAAAAAAAAAAAAAAAAAAAAAAAAAACAAAAAACTGGTTTGGAGATAGCATATCTAGTCATAGATTGTTATCTGACTGAGGTTTCTAGACCTCCTTGAACTGCTTTCTGAGGAAACCCCAAGTCAGGGTAGTCTCATGGCTGGCACTGCTCATGGCTGGCAAAACTGTCCCACCCCAAACCAGGTTCCCTGTCCTCCCAGAGAGGTGCTAGGCATTGCCTGCAGCCTTGAGCTGTAGCATGAGCTCTGGGAGAGGAAGATCTTTCCTTTCCATGTCTCTACAATCCTCCTCTTTGGGAGTCTGTCTAGCTAGGTCTACAGGGCACAGTCAGCTGACTACATTTAAATCCTGACACTGCCACTGATCCATAGCATCAGTGAGCCACTTAGCCTCACTAAGGTTTACAAGACTTATGGATAAGTCACTAAGACTTGTGGATAACTCAGAGTCACCATAACTTCCTTTTAGAGTTGTTGTAAGGACTAAAGGAGATGATGTATGGAAAATGTCTAGCCTAGTAGACATTTAACAAGTGGTAGCTGTGATTATTACTGCCCTACACATCATGTCCTTGAGGGGTATCCTCACATGCCTTTTTCTCTTTGAGTCTTGGGGCCTTAGAATACCTATTCTCACCCCATTCCTCTAGATCATTTGGGCTGTGGCCTAGCTGAAGGGTCACCCCTTCCAGGGATTCATCCTGGCCTTGAACGGGAGTGGGGCAAGGTGGACCACAGATAACTCATATGTACAAGGAGTTTGGGTAGGTAAATAAAAGCTATACATGTTGGAAAAAAAAAGAGTACCTGTTCTCACTCCAACTCCTCTTTTCTCTGCTGTTTGGGTTTTTTTTTCTGAAGCTTATCCTTAGCCAGATACTGCTCTTTGTTGAAGCCAAATGTTCACCCATTGCCCCCTGATAAAATCTGACCTGGGTCTTAGCTTTTCCAACTTCTCCTGGGAAAAGGAGCCTCTCTAAGCCTCAGCTTCTTTAGCAGTAACGTAGGACTCATAAGCACCAGCACCACAGAGCTGATGAGTGATTGAAATGAGATAATTCACATCAAGTGTTTAGCAGTGTCTGACATATAATAAACATCCAAAAAGTATTTGTGATTATCATCCTTTTCCAACCATAGAAACCCAACCTGCCCCCTTCTGACTAAAAGCCAGATCCACCCCAAAGCACAAGAACCCTCTAAAAGTCCTAGGCGCTCATTAGAGGACAGTGTCTCTTAGGAAAGCAAGGATGGGTCTACACTAAAGGAGACTGGTACTCTGCAGGGAGGCTAGCTCCACACTTGGACAGCTCTAAGCCATGTAGGAAGCAGTGGACACAAACTCGAATGGCAAGGATCAGAAACCGTGTAAGAAACCCAAATTCAAGTACCAGATCATATTTAGCCTAGAAAGAAAAACTCAGAGTGGATACAATCACGTATCAAGTACAATCAAGTCTCTGTGGGGCTAGTCCCCAGAAGAGGGAGATGACTTGTTCTCTAATGTCCCAGCTG